CTATTACACAAAGTCAAAAGTAATACTTTATTATAACAATAGAATTATTTATACAATAGTGAGTGCAACTATATTTAAGATTATAAAATCTACTGTGCATCAAGCAGTTTATCCCATTGACCTTACAATATACAATATACAATAATGCAAGAAGCAATGTGTCTCATTACAAAATAGGGTTTCCCAAAGCAGTTCTAAAATTCAGCTGATTATCAATGACCTATGCTGTTAATAATTACAGTAATTTGGCAGTTTGATTGCTTGAATTAAAAACAAAAGGTCTAGGACTCAACAGAAAGAAATATTTCTTAACATCAAATATTAAAGATAGTTGGAAGCATTCATACAATTGAAGGTTTTAGAAAGTTTGATTATCAACTACATTTACATAAAGCAATATCAATTATGTTATATTGCCTGCGAATATACTAAGTTGCAATTATTCTTCTCTAGCTTCTAACACATTTTAATCTTGATGTGATTCCATGGAACTATAAAATAATATATGATATGTTGTATGTATGTAATAAATATACAAATAGTAAGGAGTAAGAACCATTTTTGGTATCAATGTTTTATATATTGACTATTTAAGATTTTAAGTCTATTTTTGCCATTGATAAACTGTGACTAAAATATGTTTTTCAGTGTCGCTGTCTTTCACAAAAGAATATGCAAATACATTCACAATTTTGCCATGAAGCAATGGCGATTGCTCAAAATGTTTTATTTGGAATTGGTGAAACTATATTTATATATACATCAACAATGATGGTTTGTCCATAAAGTTTGTCCTATGGGCGCCCTTCATACGGGTCGACAAATATTGATATTTTCGAAAAAAAAAATTAAATTCTGCCTACCCGTTATTCACAATATGAAGCTCCAACGATCTGGCATCATTTACAACAAGTTGCACAGTTGAAAAACCAAAATTGACTGCATAAAAGAGGATTTATTGTCAACTTTGTCCATTTCCGCAATACAAAATATACAAATTATCACGCTCCGTGGGAACGACCAATATGGCCGCCGCACGTAAACTGCGACTGCGATCAGGCTTCAATTTTCGCCTGCCTACAGGGTGGGATGCGCTATCTAGTGTATATGAGATATCTATGGTTGTAGCCAGTGATTATAGTTCTCGTCCGACATTTGTAGTGAATTTCCAGACAAATGGAAAATCCAGCTGATCTTATATTACACTGGATAGAGAACTGAAGCTCATTTAATATGCAATATCTTACTTACGCTCAAAGCTGAGCAATACAACAATTACAATGGAAAAGGATTAAAATTAAGCACATCTCGAAGGTCAGTGGTGTAACTATTTTTACCACTTGAGATTAGGGCAAGTCAGAATATCACCAAATTTCATTCTGGTTTCACTCAAAATTAGAGGTTAAAGGTGATCTACAGTCCGTATGTAAACAAAGCCTTTGTTTACATTTTTGTGTCCAAAATATTGAGCTTTCTCAATAATCGACAACTATTTATACTTTCAAGCTTCTAGAGTATAATAAATGATCAAGAAACAACAATTAGGCTTTTCAAGAACTCAAAACATAGTTAAACTGTTTGTATCATAAAAAGTGGGCTCATTTGTGCACATGCGCAGATCGGACTGTAGATCACCTTTAAGTTTTACAAGTTTTCATCTGTATATTAAACCATAAAAGTGCTTACGTCACACAATTTTTTTCTAAGGTCCATTATATAGTTGTAATTTCTTACCAAATTTCGAAGCGCCCGCAATTGTAGAGAAGGGGGACCCACCGGGACATCACCCAGTAGCCCAGACACCCAGTGGGTTAATCCGCCAAGCACCCTCTATTTGGGACAGGAGAATAGAGGATTTGGTATTTCCAATGGAGGGTGCAATTTTGTTGATTTAATCACAAGCTTTTTAATTAATTAATGAATTCAGATATAAGTGCAATACAACTGCACATTGAAACGAATAGGCTTTGACTGAACTTCGCAAAGACCTATTCTACACCACCGAAACAGGCAAGGCTTCAAAAATTTTAAAACAACCAACATACCTCATAAACAACATAAATAAACTCGTAGTTAATTCTTTTTCTTCGAAGACTAACAGCAAATCTAAAATCAAAAGAATAAAAGTCGCATTCGTTTTATATAATTTGGCACTTTTGTTCATTGTCATTGTGTATTGCATTTACATAAACTTTTACATTCGTTATTAATTGAAAAAGCAACCTAAAAATGCAAATAATTTGAGCTTAATACTTACCCATGCCTTTGCCCAGTTTTTGCAAACATATGTTATCGATTTACCAAAGAAAATTTAGTTTAAAACATCAAAATATTTTTACTGCATAACCTTTAGAAGTTCGCCATGCTTTTTACCACGAGTAACAAGTGCCAAAGGTCAAACTGGTCACATGGTAGCCACAACTATTTGTGATTGGCCAGTAATTATCACGTGGTGGCCGCAACTATTTCTGATTTGTCCCCAGTGGTTCCCAGTGGCGTAACTGGAGGGTGTTTGGGTGCCCAAAAGCGGGGGTCCCCCGGCAAAAATGACCATAAAATTTTCGCTAGTGCATTGGGCAAATTGGCCCGAACCTCAGTTATAGAGGGTCAGAAAATTTGCAACGGATGGCCCCCAAAATTAAGCAGGGATTGGTGAAATTGTGAAATTTAGACCCCCTTTTTTGGTAGACATGGATAGGAAAAAATGTTTGTGAATTTTATTACTTCTTTTTATTACTTTTCTTTTTTTTCTTTTCTTCTTCTTCTTTTATTATTATTTACCAGCTCATCGCTGGTCCACTAACTCACATCATCAACTCCTTTGTAGCTGTATCGTCATTTCCTGATGCTTGGAAAGTCGCTAAGATCACTCCAATACCTAAGAGTAATAACTCTAATTCGATCAGTAATATGCGTCCCATATCAATACTGCCAGTTCTTTCGAAGGTATTTGAAAAGCTTACAGTTACACACTATCAATTGGTTGAGCACATTGACTCCCAAAAGCTGTTGAAAGAGAACATACCCGGCTTTAGGAAAGGCCATTCAACTACCACAGTTCTGCTAGATATTAGAGACGACGTACTTCGTGCAATGAAGCGTAGGGAAGTTACACTCATGGTCCTAGCTGACTTTTCGAAAGCCTTCCACACCATTAAATGCAAAACTGTGTTGAAGAAACTCAATCAGTTAGGTTTCTCAAATGAATATCTTAAATGGACGGTGAACTACCTAACTGGGAGACGGCATTTCGTCCAAATTGACGACAAAACATCCGGCTTGTGTCCAGTCAACTTCGGCGTTCCTCAGGGGTCTATATTAGGGCCATTAATCTTTAATCTATATGTTGCTGACCTTCAATCATACATCAAAGACAAATGTCATCAATACGCCGACGACACAACAGTTTACGCTCATTGCAAACCCGAGAATCTCCACCGCACAAAGAATGGTTGAATGAAGCCAACCTGGTCATCAACCCATCAAAGACCACAGTCATGATGCTCTCCACCGCACAACTGGCTTCCTCCCATTCTCTGAATGATGCCTCCATCAATATCGAAATCAATGGCACGCACGTAGAGCGAGTTAAATCTACAAAGTTACTAGGGTCTTACATTCACGAACACCTTAAATGGGAAGAGAATGTTAAAAACATCGCCTCATCCTGTTACTCCACCCTTGCTACGCTCAGAAAACAAAAAAACAGTTTACCATTCAAAATCCGCAAGAACTTAGTACAGGCTCTTGTCTTATCTAAACTATACTATAACGACGTAATTTACCATTCACTGCCAGAGTACTTACAGAAACGCCTACAAAGGCGGGTACAGAAAGCAGCAGCTAGTTTCGTGCTAGGTAAATTCGCTAGATCAGCTGACGTATTATCGTTAAAGTGGTTGCCTATCAAGGAACAACGTGAATGGAACGTTCTAAAATTAAGTTACAAAGCGCTTTACGATGAAAATTGGCCAAGTTACCAAAAACTACAATTGGTTCAACATTCTCGAGTTCTGAGATCAAGCAAAGCCTCTCAGCTTCAAGTCCCTTTAATTAAGAACACATTACAGGACCAAGCAGCACATCTTTTTAACCAATTACCAAAAGAAGTTAGGAACTGCAGAGACTACAAAGTGTTCTACAATGAGACCAAGAATTTCTTAGTCTTGAAAGCATGGTCAAGACTTGGATAATCTTAGAAAGAAATATTTAAATGTATATATAGTTTCGTACAGTTTTGTTCTAACTTAGTTAATTCGTAATTTTGTAAGTAATATTTTGTTCTGTCGAACAAGTTATATATTCAAAGTTATATTGCAGTAATATTCGTAAAATAGTTTATAGACTTTATGAATACTTTATAATTTATATAATTTGGTAAGCGAAGAGCCACTCTGTGGATATATTACCAATATGAATCATTATTATTATTATTATTATTATTATTACTTGTCAATTGTCCGGAAATTTTTCTTAAACACCTTATTTTTAAGGAATATGATTCAGCAACAGTAACAATCACTAACAAATGGCTTTATTAGCATGACTTTACATACAAGTATTGCTAAAACTTATTAGTTAGTATAAATATTTACAAATGCAAAATGTTTTGTGGTAGTATGACTATGAAATACTGTCAGTATCGAGTAACACAAAAAATAAAATTGAAGTTATTGATATAAAGAAACTTAGTTTACAAATAAGTACCCCGTTTACAGTATATAATTGAAGAAGTTTGGATTTTAGTTAAACAGCCTAGTGACAGTCAGCATTCCGAGCTTCAAGGATCAGTTAGATCTCTTCTCCAAACATAAAGAGATAAATTTCGATAATCTTATCATGGTTTCTTTATCAGTTGATTTCATTATCTCAACTGGTAAACTGTGTTCGTTTAAATTTGTTTCATTGGTGGGATCACTTTCCAAGTCATTTATGAGACTAGTTCAGTCAGACTACTATAGACTTCACAGGAAGTTAGGAAGTGATGTTCCGTTTCAACTTCTCCTGACTGGCAGACCTTGCGTATTCGGTCTTCTCGCGGAATATTTTTGTATCTACCGAGTTCAATCATTAGTTTATGGTTACTTAGTCGGAGCTGTGTTAAACGTTTTCTTTGGTTTGAGTTAGTTATGGTAGTCAAATAGGTTTCAAGCTCATAGTCTTCCTTTATGCTTGTCACAAAAGGTATAAAGTTTGGATGAGTTTTGGTAGCTTTCTTTAGTATCCTTAACACATGGTTCAACAAGATTGGTTGTGAGTCTAGGTCTTGGATTGCTCTATTACAGTTTTAGGTTTTCACTATATCCATTGCTTTTCAATAGAATGAATTGCTCTTTTTAATGAATAAATCTTTTGATATGGGGAAAGCTTGTTTGGAAATAGTTGTTTCAGGAAGTGAGTTAAGATGAGTGACGTACTTGAAGATTCTTTTGAATACATTGATAATTAATGGATATTTTCCAAGTTCACTTCTTGAGACGATACTACTCGTCTTTCTGCCAACGCCCAATTAGAGTTACAGAATTTTAGGTATACTTTTTCAACCGGCAGTTTATCCCAATTGCTAAAATCGTTTTTGATATATACACCCCACACTTCTGCATTGTACAGAAGAATGGGGCTTATTATGCTGTCGAAAATTTTAATAGCAGATTTGGGCCTAAGTCAGTGGTGTAGGTTGAGCCGTCTTCTAATGCTATAGAGCGTATGCAGGGCTTTTTCACTCAGCTGTTTGATAGCCAAGGCAAAGTTACCATTGTGATTAAGCTTTATGCCTAGGTAACAGTATTCCTAGTGTGAAAATTGGCTTCGCTTTTTTTGTTTTCCTTTTTTCCAAAATCATAACTTGGGTTTTCTTTAGGTTTACGACCATTAGCCACTTCTTACTCCAGCTATGGAGATTATCCAGACACTTCTGGAGGCCGAATTTTGATTTAGATAGTATCATTAGATCATCTGCGTAAAGAAGACAGCTCACTGTTCTGTTCCGTTAGGCAGTGTAAATGGGTCCGAGTTGGTGTTTTTAAATAAGGTCGTTATTTCATTAATATAAATATTGAAAAGAGGGGAGCTTAGTATACATCCTTGACGTACACCTTTAGAATAAGTGAAAAATTCGGTTCTGATGTTGTTTTGTTTGATAGCACATTTCGGGTAGAGTAAAGACTCTTTATAGACTTTATAAAACTGTAAAACTGACCATCAAGTTTCAGTTTTTTCAAGTAATTTTAAAAAAAGACCTTCGTGCCAAATAGAGTCAAAGGCTTTTTAAAATCCGCGAAACATGCATAAATTTTACCTTTGTTTTCAGTCTACTTGTTTGTAAATTAGTGTTCTCAGAGTAAAAAGATGGTCTGCAGTTCGGTGCCTACACTGAAATCCGCAATTTGCGATGGATGTATTAAACTTTGTTTGTAACTAAAATTGCTTAGGTGGTCATTAAGGATAATACAGAAGAATTTGCTTGGACAGCTTGTCAAAAAATCCCCCCCCCCCCGCTCGCCAACATTTTTTAGTGGGGCCCCACTTAAAAATTTGGCCGTGGCCTCAGGAGGTTCCGTTACGCCACTTGATGTATAGAGGGCTTCATTTTCGTCAAAGGAAGATTATTAAAAACACTTCCGCCGTTTCTTTCTAGCGAAAACCTTCTTTAGTATGGCATGCTTGACCTTATCGACTAAAATTGCACGTTGCGTATGTTTTAATAACCTCCCCCTAACTGCGGAGGAGGCTAGCGTAAATTATGCTAATCCTGGCATGGCGTGATAAACAGCGCGGAGGCGGTTAGTTTACGTGCACACAGTTCATGTAACATGAGATATTATAATGTCTTTTTGCGTCAGAAAGGAGCAAATTTTCCTTATTACTTTCGGCAAGAATCATTTTGTCGTTGACAAAAACTAGTCCATGCCTGTTTTTCAACAAGGTTTCAACGAGTTTGGCAATTACAACGGCTGACGTCTTCATTGACATTGACCGGCAACATCATGATCAATGAAGACGTGATCATCAACCGATAGCATCTACAGCTGGGTTTCAGTCACGTGATACGTTTAGCACTTGGTGGTCAACTCCAAATGAAAACACATTTATCGGATCGATCGCGAGTTAAATATTCATTATAGGTATTGATATTGTGTTTGGTATCAAGGCATAAAGCGGCAATATGTGTAAAGTTGACCACCAAGCGTAACAAGCGTTTTCCTATGTATAAGGCTTGACCCACCTATAGGCTAAGATAAAGGCGACTGTATAAATTGCATTTCCTCAGAGCATTTCAGTACGCGGTAGTTGTTCAAACTGCTACGTTATTTACATAATTTGGATTCTTGCACTTCACTTGGTGGAAGTAATATTAGAATGTTAGGGTTTGTAATCCAAGTGAGAATATATACATTATTTTAAGACCTAACCAGGAACGACTGCGAAAAATGCAGCCCTGCGATTCCGGTGCAGCGCTCTAACCAACTGAGCTACAGAGGCCTGTATATATAGGTGCTGCATTTTTCGCAGTCGTTCCTGGTTAGGTCTTAAAATGTATATATTCTCACTTGGATTACAAACCCTAACATTCTAATATTACTTCCACCAAGTGAAGTGCAAGAATCCAAATTATTGAAGTCCACCTTATCACAACCCGCACACCCGATTACCTATATATACATGAACTTGCGGTTACAGCTCAACAGCTGGCCTCTGTAGCTCAGTTGGTTAGAGCGCTGCACCGGAATCGCAGGGCCGTAGGTTCAATTCCTACCAGAGGACCTTGTGCTGCATTTTTCGCAGTCGTTCCTGGTTAGGTCTTAAAATAATGTATATATTCTCACTTGGATTACAAACCCTAACATTCTAATATTACGTTTTTTACATAATTTCCACGGCTCATAACCACGCCAACACAGTAAAACGATCGAAGTCGTGTGGGGTGATTTATTTTTTACTTTATAAAAGACATGGAGTTCACCAGGTCATCGAATGTACAATAGATTGACGTCAGTGCTGGCATCATGGAGTCCAAACCGGCTTGTAAGTTGCAAACAAACAAACAAACAAACAAACAAACAAACAAACAAACAAACAAACAAACAAACAAACAAACAAACAAACAAACAAACAAACAAACAAACAAACAAACAAACAAACAAACAAACAAACAACAAACAAACAAGCAAACAAACAAACAAACAAACAAACAAACAAGCAAACAAGCAAACAAGCAAACAAGCAAACAAGCAAACAAACAAACAAACAAACAAACAAACAAACAAACAAACAAACAAACAAACAAACAAACAAACAAACAAACAAACAAACAAACAAACAAACAAACAAACAAACAAACAAACAAACAAACAAACAAACAAACAACGTAACTGAAGTATCGATCAAGCTCCGATTTTTTGCTTTCACGAGCAATACATAAGAGGTTTTCTAACACCCTCCCTTTTTATAAGTACTATTTTCTATTTATAGTAAGACACCAGCAGGATTGCTTTATCAGATATAGGACACGAGTGCGCAGCACGAGTGTTTTATATCTGATAAAGTACGAAGGACTGGATCCTAGGTCCTAGGACTGGATCAAAATTAATTCAGTCGTTGAACTGGATCAAAATAATTAAGTAAGTGACATATTCGTATGAGATGTCATTTCAAATCCTCCAATTCGGACTGGACTGGATTTCAAGTCCTCGCATTTTGATCCAGTCCTCGACTTCACCACGGACTTGATCAAATTGCGCGAACTTGAAATCTATAGTCCAGCCTTCATAGTCGTATTTAAAATATTACGTAAAACCACACATATAAGGACCTAGAATTTAAGAACCTGTTAGGCTAAAAATGTTTATTTAGATTCCCTTTAGGTAAGAATCTGTTCATGCTAGAATTTCAAAGCAGGTTCTTATCTTATCAAATAGAGTCAAAATTTATAAATCAAAGAATAAGCTCTTCACAAAGTAATGAAAATGATCCAGAACCCTGTCATTCAGATAAATAACATGTCTATAATATATGAACACAACAACAAGTAATTGTATTTCTTCAGTGAACTGTACTACATGACAATCGCAACTACCAGTGACTCAGTAAGCAATGTTTTCTAGCATCATGGACTGTTAGATCATTTATGCACAATTTATACAAATTATATACCACACCTACCGAAAATGAGCCCAATTTCCTGGTATTAATTAAGTACCATGTACATAAGGCTAAGTCTAGGTTCTTATATGCGGACTTTTACTCTACCTTAGTTACAGCCACCGGTTTATCAAGTACGCTGGATTTCGGCATACAGTACCTTAGCATACAATACCAAGGACAAACGTGCTCTCATCTGTAGGAGCTTTTTTAACTCAAGTACGGTTTATAGTTGCGCTAACCAATTGTTGCCTCGAACGGATTAGTTGAAGCAGTTGCTTGAACCTTATCACAGGTCACGAATGACGTGCGCTTAATAGCTAGCTGCAACGCCCTTTATGCTAATTGTGGTCTATATATTTTACAGAATATATGTACAACCTTATAAAGCCTGTTTTCCTCATAATTGCATGTGGGTTGCGGGTAGAATCCTTCACCGGCTGATAGTTTCAGCTAATATAAAACTAGTGTTATTCCGAAAAAAGTATGCATTTTAACAACACAACTATTTTTAAAAAATGTTTATGATCAATTCTAGTTTAATTCATCTTCAGCAGTATCGTTACAAGATATATGGCGTATCTTGATGTGAACTGATGAATCAAAATAGATTCGAAATACACAGCCACAGGTTTTTTTAAATAGATGTGTTGTTAAAATGCATACTTTTCCCGGAAGAACATTACTAGTGTTTGAGCCGTGGGTATAGATCCTAGCTCCGGTTCAAGAACGATCGATCATATTCAGCTTTTGATGGATTTTTGGCTTTTTTATAAAGGATTTTTTGGATTTGAATTTAGGGATTATAAAGGTGCTTTTTAAAGATTCCCATGGATTTTTTTAGCTGTACGAGTTTTTTGGCGTGAACTGATAAAAGACATACAACGCACGTCCAACCCCATTGTGCGCGAATCATGACGTTTAACAACAAAAAATTACGTCAAACTACCAAACCGCACGATTCAATGTCATGTAGTCGCCACACGATGTTCTATGAATAAGGAACCGGTAAGAAGGCGCGTTACGTCAACCCTGCATGATGGGCTTAATATACCGCCCACTTGATTTGTTAAAATAACTTAAACGACGTAATTTTGCCGCACCTTAACGCTGCATTCTTGTTAAGCGTTAATGCCACACGTGAGGGCAGTATTCTGTTGAATTTGGGTATGATTTTATTATGTGCATTTGTTGAGGTAATTATATTGCTCATATAAAATTTAGAACGATTAAGAATTTGACCAGAGTTTAATCAGCCCAACCATTAGTCAAACGAGAATTATGAAAATTGCAACAGTCGCTTCAGTTTGCTACGCGTGGCAGTATGCCAACCAGTGATACCAACTGACATTTTATACGGCGAACTTTTCATGCGCCAACTTTTCAGTTAATTGTATCGCCATATCAGAAATTTCACCATATCAGAAATTTCAGTGCGAAATATCATAATCATAAATATGGGCTTCGGTTGCGCAGTCGTCAATGCAAACTCCTTTCACCTCCGAGTTCGTGGGTCCGATTCTCGCTATAGACTCATGTGAAAAGAGTTAACGCTCTGCCGAAAGTCGTGGGTTTTCTCCGGGTTCCTCTCACCACGGTTATTAACCGTGCTCTCACAGGAAAAGTTGACAGTGAGGGTTAGGACAAACACAGTCTCGTACCAGCCATGGCTCTGGGTACGAGATTGGGACAAACACAGTTGAGGAGCATTTATATCACAACTGATTTCTGCTGTGTCGGTGTAATGTACTCAGGTGAATAAGATGTTTGTGTGATGTTACTCTGAGTGTATATCCACACCGGGCAGGCTTGAAAAATATGCCTGGCCACGGCGGGATTCGATCAAGCCTGCCCGGTGTGGATATACACTCAGAGTAACATCACACAAACATATCACAACTGATTGTTGTATAAGATAAAATAGCCTAGGCTAAGTTTATGTAACTAGGAAAGCGTATATAAACAGTACTTGATGTAAAAGCGCATAGGATCATATCCAAATGTTATTTGCTTTATAGAAATGTTAATCGTTACTCAATTTAATCGTTTCATTAGTTCGCAGTCTACAGGGCACGTGATTTTGATTGTTAAATCAGAACAAAATGTTATTCGGAGTTACTGTTCTTTTGTATAATAGATCATATTACTGTTGTTGTACTGTTAAATAAATGCATAAATTTTGCTTTATGCACTCGCGTGTGCAGTAATTTTGACAGTTATGCTATTTTAAATTCCCATGCACCTAAAATCTTTTGTCCTTAATTAAAACAATGTCGATTTCTTGGGAAATTCCGAGGATGCGTTTTTTTATACACCCTGTATAACTCGGGTCGTACACCACAGAGCAGGGCTTCTTTTAACCATGTTGCCCGGCCGAGCGAAGGTCCTTTCTGTTTAAAATATAAGTAAAAACAGGAAGAATATAACTTAGCTAAGAAGAGCGTTCTAATATTTCCATGATCAAACTTTTTGTCCAGCAGATGAGATATGTCGGAAAGGTGGGTCTAAAATTACAGGAAATCAAGCCGTGAAGGCTCAGAGTACTGGGGTCCCCCAGACAACACCTCCCCCCCCCAAAAAAAAGTTGGCATCTTTCCACTTCATCACCTGCTAGTTACACTGATCTTGGCCATAAGGCTATATTGCAAAGTTAATACACATTGACAAAACAAATGGTAATTTACCATATATGACACAAGTTTAACATCGAGTTGGGGGAGTGGGGGCTTACTATAAAGCGCAACATAATTCAACATGGAATTTATCATAAGAGATATGCGAACCGAGGGAAAGGTAGTCTCAACCATGGTCTGATGGTCTCAACTCTCAACCAGTTATTTGAGTGTTGGTTATTGAACTTCTCACTCATTGGTGAGCGGATTTCCCGACAGGCTATATTGCCCAAATGTAGGGGTATCCGAGGTTTAATGTCAATGTGAAGGTAGCACTTTTCTACTCAGTCAATTATTTTACGACCTTGACTCCTTGAGTTTAGAGGTCAGACCTCAGACCAAGGATTAAACCCGGGTCTCCTCCACAGACAATTTTCAAGAATTTACCTATATATACAGTTGTTTTTCTATTTTTGTGTATAACTATATTTCTTAATTTGAGGAAATTTTCTTCCCAAAGCTACTGTACATATCAAGGTATAGAAGTGACAGACTCTTCCTCAACGCCTCCATATCAATGTCTGAAAATGAAAGACATCTCAGTTCAAATGTCAGTCAGTTTATGTTGACACACGCAAAGCTTATCACGCTTGAGACTTCTCCAGAATTATCATGTGAGAAATTTCATTAATCATGAATTTTCATGGGAGTCCCCTCTGTTTCATTTGTCATATTCGTTTATAGTTTAAATACTGAAAGGTCATGTTACGGGATGTAATTTCGCAATGCTTGTTACGTGAGAAATTTCATGATTCATGAATTTTCATGGGAAGCCCCTCTGCTTCATGACAAAAAAAAACCCATCTGGTTCTGCTTCTCCCTTCTATGTTTCGTAGCGTACATGATTCTACTCTGCCGATAATTAATTAATAATTCATGAGGAAAAGACAAAAGAAATCCGGCACTACCGTGATTGTGGTTTTATGTGAAAAAAATCATGTTAATTTAATACTTCAAACACTCATTAGTAATTCATAAGCTTATTGGCAAATCATGTCAACCATAGTATGTCACGTGCAGTGGCTTTAAACCTGATAAAACACTCCTAATTAGTATTCTTTATATAAATAATACTAATAAGGCAGTATCTATTGTAATCGTGTCTTCATTGGTATTCTTTATATAAAGAATACTAATAAGGCAGTATATCTATTGAATTTGTAGTCGTGTTTGAAGCCGTGCAGGTCGTGTTTTATTAGGTCTAAAGCCACTCGCGCTGCGCGCTCGTGTCTTTAAACCTAATAAAACACTCCTGCTCGTTTATTAAACAGTACATAAACTTTAGCCATAGCTTTAGCTTTGATTTTCTCTGCATGCTTAGACAACGATGATTTTAAAAGTTACTTCGCCAATGAACTCATGAAGATGGGTCGATTTTTAGTACGTTAACTACATCAGCACGAGTTTGTATATCAGATAAAGATTGGCTACTCACGTTTTAACTAGTACATAGCATACTCTTAATCTACGCTTACAATTTCCCTGTGACTCTACTCTATAGGCTGTGTTATTAACATGGCGGCCTTACCTCTACTGGGGTACTCTGTACTGTACTTTTTTAATTAAAAAACTGTTGAGGTTAAACGCGTGAAAAGTGTCTGCACAGCTTGTTAACAAGATATGTTCGCACTTCTTGTTCCTGGAGTTGTTGACAAGTCTGAAACAAGTTGTTACCATCGTATAACAACGTTGATGAGGCTAACAGACTCGCAACAACTAGTTGTTCCAACAAATCTGGCGACTACACGTAACAAGTTGTCAACAAGTTGATGACAACAAGCTCGTGCAACATTTTGCTAACAGCCTGTGTTAACCTTGTTGAAACAACTTGTAGCAAGTCTGCAGTTACTGCTCGAAACGTCCATGTAGTATTTTAATGCATTGAAGTAAGTCACCAGGCTCAAACGAAAGTTTAAACGCCGGTTAAAATGAGAACTCAAATGTTGTCGAGAAGATCTTGTAGTTCAACAAGATTAGAAAGCTCAAGTTTCGAGTAAAAAAGTACAGCGAACGGCAAGGCCGAATTTTCGTGGCATAATTTTCGTGGCATAATTTTCGTTCGATTTCTGCGTTTCATATTTTCTTTCATATGATACAGGAATAGTTAAGCATTCTATAGTTATAAAACAACAAGTCCATTTACTTAGTTTTATTGCTTTTAGAGTAAAAGTTTTCTTTGCCTGGCGTTTGTCGTTGAACGCGAAGCTTATAAGCTCTCTATTCTTCTAATATTGCTGCACGAACCACCTTTCGTTTACAAATTACAATTATACTACAATCTATCACTAGGAAACTAATATAGCTGCCGATAGATATCATCCTGCCTCAAATCTCGTCCCAGCAAAGGCGGAATCATGTATATACAGCCCATTTTTAGCGCTTCTACCTACACTGACAGAGACCGTTCGTGATTATATAAACAAACCCTACCTTTTACGCATTTTCAAACAAAAACGTGCCAGAAACATAACGACCCGTGAAAGTCAAGGGTTTTATAAGGATGTTTCAAGGCAAACAAGGAAACCGGATAATACAGTATATGGGATAAAATTAACAATCTTCCTACTGGGCGTATAAACTACATGGTAATGACAGGACTAATGTTAAAATTCTTTCCTTTGCGTGGGCCAAAAAACGGACTCTCGACGTCAATGCAACATGACAATAAATGGCTTATGTAGTTCGTCAAGCCATATGTCATCGCTCAGCAATAAATGTGTAAGTACTAGTTTGTCCTTAGTAACGGGATGGGGATGGTAAAACCAGAATTGTACATGCGGATTCATCGTCTCCATACAAATATTACTCGACTGTGATTGGTTGATTTCAGTGCAGTTACTCTCAAACAGCAGTGCAAAAATCTGTAACAAACTTATCTAATTGGTGGAAAAAAGAATGAGATCTGAAAAAAACATTAAATCGAAAATTTAAAATTTAAATCGAAAGGACTTTACCTTAAAACAAGACTAGCAAAATTTACATATTTGAGTGAAATTTTCAAGCCGTTAGCGTTGTATAATGCGATATAACAAATTAATCCGTAGTATTGAGCATGGTTTCTCGTGAAATTTAGATAAAACAAGCACTGTTGTCTTTGAAAAACTTACTCGTGCATGTTTTATTCAAATTGCACTCGAAACCATGCTATTAGCCATACTAATAAGGCGAATATAGAGATATCCATGGGATTCCATGCCAATGAGTTATACCAGAACACCAATATACTCGATAATACTGGCTCAATATATCAGTATTCCTAAATTCCAGGCTTCGTCTGTCTGGATACTTTATACATGTATTTCAACCTATTTTAACAATAAAATACTGTATACCAAAAGTAACATGGTCTCAATACCAAAATACCTGAAACCCCTAAAATAAAGTTAGATTAGCTTAGGCCTTCTCCTGTGGTAACAGTGGACCAACAGAAGTCTATCGTACTTTGAATTCCAGTCCACTTCATGTATGCCCAGAGGTCTGTAATGCAGTCCAGGCTATAACCCGTTCCCATTAGTCCGCCCACTTGGGTAAATATTTGGTGCAACTTCCGCTGTTTGTTTATCATAAATTGCGGCGTTGAACCACACGTACGACATTTTGCAAAGACGACTCGAGACCGAAGTTTGAAGTATGCCTAAAGGAGGACACGTCCGCTTGACCGGTGAAGAATGCGACGAGAAGGACGAAGCTATTGCGGGAAAGAGCTATCAGGTCCGCTACTTGGGTTCCAGCGTTATAGTGAGCTACAACGGTAAAGGCAAGGGGTGTACGGACGCGGCTGTACGCGAGATATACAGTAGGTACAGTACCAAAAACACTGTGAAGAGTCTCCCGAAACGTGAACTATTCGTAAGCGCTAATTGTGTTTCATTATATGCTCCTGTCGAAGAGGTTGTTATGTTCAGATTCCTGACCGTCAACATTACATTCTGCAATACAAACGACGAAAATCGCAATGCCTTCGCGTTTGTGGTCAAGGAATCGACGAACGTGTTCCGTGCTCACGTTCTTCACTGCGACAGCCCGACGCAAGCAAATGATATTTGCGTGGCAATGCATCAGGCATTCATTGTTCGATCTGCGTTGTTTCAAGCGAAACGTGTGGACCGCGCAGGATGGGCGAACGGCTTGCTGTCCTCGCAGGAGAAGCTTGTGGCAAGCGCGCAACAAAATGGCGAACAGCGCACTGGCAAGACCAATGGAAACGGAGTCCACGACGAAATCGATTCGAATAACAATTTTGGGGCGTTTGCGTGCGCTGTTGTGCTGCCGTGTCCGAGCGACATCTGCAATGAATCTAAGAACAATAACAATGTCGATAATCCGAACCTAACACGCTATCAGGGGAGGTTTTCGTTAGCAACGATGCTACTTGAAGGAGGAAAAAACCGCAGCAGAAGTCATAGCTTGCCTTTCCAGATCCAAAACTCGTGGGCAGCGAGCAATGGGGAGTGGGGATGCTTTCAGGGCTCGGAGGAAGACGATGTTGATGATTTTAGTTCGTTTGCACGCGAGAGATCGTCTTCCGTGGGACTACTTATGGCTGAATGAGGTATTTTCTATGATAGACAATGCACTTGAAACGATGGTGAGGGGAATTAACCTTGTTATGATAGATAATATTACACTTGGAACCGTACTAAGCCATGAACTAAATGAAAGGTAATTACCTAGTTAGATACTATTTCATTTTGGAACGGGGGTATCATATAGGTTATCACCATATTAGATAAATATTATAGTCGGAACATTATTGACCATGAAATTAACTATTATTAACCAATTACTATGAACAGAAATGTCGTATAAATAGCTGGAATATTTTTTAGCGAAGTATTAAAGGTAATTACCCTATTATAATTAAAATATTATAATTGGAACTATATTAATAAGTGATGGTAATTACCCTAATACCATGCATTGAATTAGCTGGAATAGAAATTACGCGAGGATTATTAATATCTCAATACGGTAAATCCCGCATATAAGAATCGTTTTACTTTAACAAGCTATCTTATTAAGTTTAAACTAAAGAAAATTTTGGAAAAATCAGACAATTTTTGCCATGAGAATTTTATGGGTGGGTTTTAGTAGGTGCTTTGTATATGCTGCCACGTAGACTAGACCTGGAGAGTGGTTAATGTTCCTCCGACCCTGAATTTGCTTTTTTCAAATGTTCCTCAAATTAAAAGTGCGGAAAAACAATGGGAAATTCAATCGTACTTAAACCATTGTGTTGCAACAACAAAGCGTCTCAAATGACAGATAAGGAAGTAAAATTGATCCCATAAGAATCTCCCATAACGCCTATGTGTGATTGTGTGAAAAATTGAAAATGTTCTTCAACCTTCTTGCCAAAACAAATGTTCCCCAGGATCCCGAGATCAAATGTATTGGCATTTATGAAGCGAGAAAACGAAGCCAGCAAAACAAGGCGTCTTTTCCTGTTAAAATTGACCAATGTATGCAGTATAGATCCTTTCCTTGTTTACTTTTTAGGCAGGCGTTTTTAGGCAGGTTTTAGAAAGCTTTCAGGAAAATATTTTAAAATCTTTTAGTCACGAGAGCTTCGTAGTTGCGTCGGACATGCTTGTTGAATCACAAATTGAGAATATAGTCTTTATATATAATTGGAATTTGCCTGCCAGCAAAATATATTAACAAGGCAAGGATCTATGGATTTTTCAACTACCTGAAAAAGAAGACAATTTATTGAATGCTTCAGTTTTTCAGACGTCTTATCTTACAGCGCACTCGAAATGTCTGTGTTTGTGGATTCAGCCAAATGCAAAAAATCGCTCAGTTCAGTGAGTTCACCTGTTTGACCCTTGCTTTGAAAGCTGGTAAGATTTAAACCCGCAGATTATGAATTTAAGCACAAACGTTTTGGTGATAACAAATTCGGAACTTGTTCCCACAAATCCAATTAATAAAAATTCAGTTTTCTGACGCGAGGCCAAGATCAGAACGTGGGACTTTTCATGTGCCAAACGCATTAAATGCAAATGAGCTCAAAACAAAATCTCGGGTCCTTCACATGACAGCAAGACGCTCGAACTAATCCTGAAAAGTGATGAAAAAGCACATAGACCGAAACAGTGCACGCGGGTTTCATATTAGGTTTTCATGTGATTAACATATCTTCTTTGACCTCCAGTTACACGAAACCGGTTCGCATCGGAGCGAGTCCACTGACATCTAAGACGCTTTTCGGCCTCTTACAACTTTTCATATATTTCAATTTTTTTACCAATTGTGTTATATTATCATAATTTTGAGTGCTAAACTCCCCTTGAAACTGTAAAATTTGATGTCGCTCCGATATCGTGTAACTGGGGCCTTATATTTCTAATACGACAAATTTGTGATACACCTAGGAGGTTGACGGAATGAACCTTAAATAAAGGCTATCGCTAGCTGTTTCGCTGGTTTTCACATTTCACATTTTCACACAAAAATCAGCTCTTTTAATCACCCACATAAATGGCACTTGAACAGTGGTTTCCTATATGCGGGTTTTTAACTGGTATTCTAGTGTATATTTTGTTGGAAATATTCGTAAATAATATACAGTCTTGAAATACTATACCTTATATTATGTAGAATTAGTTACAGAACTGTATAAAAACGCATACGATTGACATTATGTTTGTTTCAGAAAATATTATTTAGCTATATTATTAATATCGTATAGTTTTGTTTTTAATTTGTATGTATATATAGTAGACGTGATTAAATTTATTAAAGGACTATTTAATTCGTCAACAATAGACGTTTTGGCATTTTTTGTTCGCGCGTTTGACCATATTGAAACAATACGCCTTATAGTGTAAAAATATTTTCGGTCTTCAAAAACGCCAACAAAAACAGCAACAACGGTGGTTTTATAAACGGAAGTTTGACATTAAGCAGGGGAATGCGATAATTTAGTGAGATAACTATTTGTTTTGTCAGCGTCAGCAAGTTAGTAGCAACCCAATATACTGAAAAATTAGATGCTATCGCGATCCTAACTCGACCCTCTATAGGCAATGCAATAAGTTTAGCTAGGTTATTAAAACACGCGGGCTACATATGAACGAACAGCATTCGAAGTTTACCGGTTGTTCAATTTCGACAAGTCCATGCTCATTGCGAATGTTATGTCTATATTTAAATACGAATCCCGTGACTATCACCGCTAAGAACAAATGTCCCGTTGTGCGAGAATACAATACATGCATTTTTTTATGTAAATTGAGAATTTATTTATTCTTCGTGTGGATTTTCTTGCCATGATGCGTGATATGATAATCAGTCACAGATGTTCATTTGTGCAAGAGTTTGAGTATTGTATATCGTGTTTTGTACAACTGCTAAAATATGTTTGCGCATTTTATGCAAATAACTATATCGATACCCATGCAGTACGCAGACATAAATATACGCGCGTTTCATGCAAATTAAATATTTTTCAAAAAATGCGCAATCCTCATTTCTAACAGAACTAGATAACTATATGGTAGGTCTCAATCGCACACACTATTGTGTTTCACTGTAAATGTTCAAATATGAGTACAATCATCTGAAAAGTGTCACTTCACCGGATGTAGGCGAAGAAGGAGCGCGCGTGGTGGAGTGATACGCAAACACATGGCAAACACATGGGCACGAGAACTTTCGATTTGAGTGCGGGCGGAGATTTTGTAAGGGCTTTCATTCAAGTGTGACTAAACAAATTATAATCCCCATGGATTATATCCTTTTGTTTCCATGGCGTTAAAATATTGATTCAGCACGTTTATGTACAGTACTGAGAAATCACTCTTTTGTTGGAAACATCCAAACTTCATTACCTCTGCCTCAGGGAATTCAGAATTCATTGTAATCGTACGAGCGAATTAAAACTGCATAAACTGTACATGAAAATTTTAATTGAAAGTTAAAACGACTTAGAAATTCGATTAGGAATGGTTCAACTGACTACAGATTTGTCAAAGAGTTTTTACTGTTTTACGCGCTGCCGCGTTAAATTAATCAGCACATAATCATATTCATATGTTGAACGATACCAAAAACGTTTAAATAACTTCCCATGCATAAAATTCGATTGAATTGTGTTTACGCACTCATGGCTTCAGTGTAGGACTCAGGCATTCAAATTATAACAACAAGGTGAATTTCTAAAGTTCACTTTCTTTTGAGACACCCTGCATTCCGCGTTCGACAACTTCGATGAAATCAAGGTAACCTGCGCAGCAAAAGGGTCTGCCAAGACTGGCTCATATTTAAAATATATGCCCTGAAAAATATTCATCTGCGCAATCCTATTCGCAAAAAGGTCGCTCTAATAACATTAGGATGGTTAAGGCTACGTTTATACTTGCACTGGATAGCTTTCCGTAGCGACGTGAAAAAACACTTATCCGAGACCGTACCTTTTAGGAACGCTATTTTCATCAGAGAAATTACTGTAATGGAGAGATGCTGTTTCGCTCAGCTTCTGAAAGTTGTACATTCCGTATCGGATAGCTGCTTTTTCACGCAGCTACGGAAAGCTATTCGGCCTTAATTAACACTGACGTTTACGGCAGAGGACTAAAACCGCAAACAATTCAAATCGTATTTTGAGGTCAATAGGACTTATACCTTCAAATGAATTTTGAAGTTTTCCGTTTGTGGCGATCTGCCTTATGCTAGTTATAAAAGTCGATCTTAACCTCTCTATATTTACTTCAGTAAAGGTAAAGCTAAGATATCCTATAGCTAGTGGTGCAAGTCCTTATACCTAGTGATCAACTCTAAAATTTATACGCTTTCATCTTTTACAATAAAACTCGAAGAGTTCTTTCTCTATAATTGAATCACAAAGTACAACATGTGGATGAATTTTCCTGCGCTATATGCAAACATGTTGTGCTTTTGTAACAGGTCATAAAACATGTACAGTCATATATAGGGAAAAATACCTTAATTAATGGTAACTATGTAAATATTATTTTTTCCCTCTTTAAATAAAGTATTAGCTAACTTTTTGCACGGTTTGATCACTGTTCTCTCTAACCAACTGGACTACAGAATCCAGTTGTCGAGCTCTAAAAGACTATAAAATAAATGTATAAACCTCCTTTGTAACGTTTTAAATCTCCGCTACGTGATAAATAACGAAACAGGACGATTGAGCATGATTCATTTTCGACGAATTTTGGAACATGTCTGTTCCTGTATACTGTGTTCTGACGCACGCAGCGGTCAAACCCAGAGGCTTGATCCAAAAACCCTTTCCGAAATTACTAAAAGCGGATAACCGGAGACGATTAAATTTTATTGTTTGCCAACTCCTGCAGAGAAATTGCGTAATCATGAGGTCACGTATTGATACTGGTAATGATATACTGGAGAGGTGAAAATACAATGTACTTTATGAGTGGATTTATAATGGTGTTTCTATAATACCTGGCTTCGTGCCTCATTGGACATTGTGATTTAAAAAAAGAAGTGTCTTTCAACTCAAAATGTTATGTAAATGGGCGCTTACTGAGCCGCTAAGAAGCTTAAAACTGATAGAGCTATCCGGTAAAACCAAAGTTAGCATTCTACTTATAAAACAACAAGCCCATTTACTTTTTATTGCTTTATAGCGTAAATGTTCTCTTTGCCTGACGTTTGTCGTTTGTCGTTGAACGCGAAGCTTATAAAGCTCTCTATTATTTAATTACATAACAATAAGAAGTAGAAATATTTACAAAATTAGGGCTAGGAACCTAGAAACCAAAAGGCTTTTGTTTAATTTAAGGTCCCCTCCCTAAGTAATAATTTTAACTAGCTATATATTATGCATAGTCTAGAATGCAGTTCGAATGGTTTTTAAAAGTCAGGAAATAGAGTATATATATATATATATATATATATATATATATATATATATATATATATATATATATATATATATATATATATATATATATATATATATATATATATATATATATATATATATATATATTTATATATATATATATATATATATTTATATATATATATATGACGTACAAGTCCGACGTTTTATTTTCCAAAGTTTTCAAAACAAACAGACGTGCGCAATGTCACTTTTATTTATTTAACCATTACTGGCATTAGTTACTATACCGCCTGTCATGACGCACGCTAGTCAACCACAAAGGATGTTCATTTCATGTTGGTATTTATTTATTCGCTTGGCGAAATGGACTTTAACCTTTTAAAGAAAATCACTCCAGCAAGAGGTCTTATCTGATAACTCAATCTCGACCTGGATGAATAACAGGATGTACTTAAAGCAATAATCAAGTTAATCCATTGAAACCTGCTGATTTATATCTTTGATTCATATTTCAGCAGCAGCTATATGTCACGTGCGGATGATCGATAGATAAAAATTCACCCTCACTACTCAGAGAATTCTATTTAGCTGCGAATGATATCTAGTAATTTGGTAGATTTCTCCATTTGGCAGGAACCCAAAACTATAGGCATAGCATAGGGCTATAGTAGAGTATCATTTTGAATTAAACCAGCAAGCCAAAAATGGAGCCAAAAATGCGATGAGATTGAATCTCTGCAAATCGGATCGCAAATGTCATTTCACATTATCATGCATAGTTTCCCATATCTCTTCTAAAATGAGTTTTAGAACGTTTCGAACATTAGATAACGAGACTTGTGGCAACTATTTTAGTGTGACATCATTACTTATTCACGGGCAAAATTTAAGGAGGAACAGAGGTCTCTGGATGTTGATAAATTTCTATTCAGACAATGTTTATCCTTTCCCACCGAACTTCTTCCACTATGTCATCAACATCACAGTAGATTTGCGGTCAGTGGCGTAACGAAGGAACAGGGAGCCTTATGCATATTTGGTGTGTGTGGGGGGGTGGCTGTTGACTGTTTTCATTGTTTGACTGAGATATTTTATATTGAATATTTATAGAATGTTCTGGAGAATTCCGTGTATATAAGTAACAATGACAACTAAATAAGAATAACCTCGAGAATAACTTTTGTTTCATTTGAGATGGAATAACAAAATCAGCTAATGAGGTCGATGGAGGCTTTATTTAATATTTAGCATTATTATTTTTTCATTTTCCCATTGATTCTTAATCTGCATTTTTTACGTGTCCTAATTTTCTGGGCGATAGGTCGTGGCTGATGGGGGTCCCCGACTGTCGGGGCCCCTTAGTTTTTGAACTAACCCTACCTCTAGTAATGAGCGCTAAGCCACTGTTTGTGGTGGTCAAACCAACGTATATGGGCTATATGCACAACGAATCTACTATGCTGGTTAGTTTTCACATCAGTGGGCAGATCTTTCGATTCTTTGGTGTTTCCACAAAGCAAGACATATCATTTTTGTTTTCTATATTTACTGCTTTGAAAAAAGTTATATTTCTTCTTATTGTTTTAATATAGTTCAATCTTAACTAAACTAAGTTTATTTATACCGGATATTAGCTTCATCAGTTGTCCCGAGAGGTCCAGTATAAGGATAATCTTTTATTCATGCATATTACTTGTACAATGAGCCCAAACTAACTTTATCCATACTGAAAGCTCTATCAGGTCAAGATGTCCGCTGTTGTTTATACAAGAGACGGATTTTGGGACGTTATTTTTTTGCAATGTATTTTTATCAGCCGTATTTTACATCTGCATTTTGTCGCTTCACGGCTCGCAAACATATTTGGAAGTGGATTGATAAAACTAATTAAACAGGAATCAACTTCCGCATAGTTTCAATGTAAACCGATTTAAAGTAAACCACGACAAATGCACATGCCAAACGTAATTCTTTATAAAATGTTATAGTGTTTCTATTTTGCTCTAAGGTCAATGCTGAGTGCGATTTACATGGAGATAGGGCCATGTTGTGTTTGCGCGTTGCGTTTACATAATTGCATGCGCGCTAGTATTACCCCAAGGGTATAGAGTTACCCTATGTTTATTTCGCCGTTTTGATATAAGAATTTGATACAAAGTAAAAGACCATAGCATTGAAACGCGGCAAGCAAAGGTCCAAGACATAAAATAATACAACTTGCCTCTAAACTTCACGTGTAGGCGCCATTTGCAGCTGGCTTAGCGACCGTAGGTAACATAGTCCCAGTGGTAAAGTAACACTATCTTATATGTAAACACTCGCTATTTTTTGTACCCTCATGGTAGGGACGTAGGGTAACCCTAGTGGTAGAGAGTTCAAGGGTGGCCCACTTTATAAGCAGTGTGTTTTGTGGTGGTGTTAATAAACAGACTGTTAAAGACAATTGTATTCTGGCGCATAGTTCCCCCCCTGTCGCATAGCCGCATAGTTCCCCCTGTCGGGGAGTTCCTGGCGGCACCACTGGGTAGAGTTACCCTTCCTCCATGTCAACAGGCGGTACAGGCCCTAATGAAGGGGGGGGGGGGGGGGGGG